CTTATTAGCATATTGGCTTCTTAACTTGCATTTCACAGCACATATAACCTTTGAACGCAGTAGTTTTTACAAAAACAAGATCTTAGTCGTGCATCGTGGGGGAAAATATTGTATATAACAGACAGACAGACAGATGTAGGGATGGAGGGGTAACCTTTGAACGCAGAGGTTTTTACGAAGGGATGGAGGGTTGCACCAAGGGTTAACAATGTGTGTGATGGGTGTGTCATCATACACTCTGTATTTCTTGACTTAGGACAGACATCATCAGCTATTGAACCAACAGAATCTGGTACGTAAGTATACAGTGTATAATATTTATTCTATAATATAGAACCGGTCTCCTGGGACATGTATAGGTTAACGCCTGGTTCTGAAGCGGTATATACCGGCGATATCCCCGAAGCTGTTTACTCTAGCACCCGAGGGCGGAGCCCGAGGGGGCCGGGCCCGAGGGGGCCGGGGTAGAGTAAACAACTGAGGGGATATCCGGTACCGCTGAAGAACCAAGGCGTAACCAATTTGTAGCTAGCAACCGTACTAATTGCCTAGCAAACATATTACGTCATCAACATTTTGCCAGGAGAAATCGCTGGGCGAGACGAGGGAAAGGAGGCCGAGAGCATGCTTGCGAGCCCATGCTGCCTGTTGACCGTTTGTTCGAGCGAGTACTACTTTAGCTAGCGGTGGAGCGTAGTGTAGCGTGCAATTGTAGCGGGCTGCTGTAGCGCGGACCAAGCAGAGAAGACAAGACGCCGCGCAGACCTGGAATGACGTTCTTTGGAGTCTCCTTCGTATATAGAGTAGCTCATCAATTATCGGGACACCATCACCCAGACACAGCCATTTCTCTCGGACCAGACAGAGTTAGCTATCCTCGCTACGTTCAGTACCTCAGAGGGTGTCACTCAACAGGCATGCACAGTACCAGCTTCGGCAGAGGGATAGTAACGCTGCGGCAGCAAAAAAATCGCTCACCGTCCGAACCACCGTCAGTCGCCCCTATGTTCGGACAGTGCATTTTCTGGGATTTTAAAGCTAAAGAGACAACGCTATGTACTCAGAAACCTCAACACTATAATACTACAGCTGAACACGCAGTACTTCGTACAGCTATATAGCTAGCTGTGCGCAAACTGCCGGAATATTTTGCACAAAGACTACGCCCACTTAAATTTGCGCATGCGCTTGTCTTTTCTTCAAACGATTGCGCATGCGCATTTGAGGAAATAAACGCGTTCCCCGAAGGGACCGGACGAATAAACTCGCCTTGCCCTTGCAGTGAGTTGTAGGTAGACAAGACATTGCGGTCCGACAATTCGAAGGTGTCCGATAAAAGAGTGGTGTCCGGTGATTGATGCAGTACTCTAACGTACGCTACTATGGGAGCTCAGCTATGGTGCACCTGACATTTTTGAACGGCGTGTTCAAGTGACGCACGGCACACAGCCCTCTCGCTCCAGCTTTCGCCTTTTTCTGTCTTGCGCGCGCATCTTCTCGCTTACTGGCTCGCCACTTTTCCCCTGCCTGCCAGCTTGGGATGTAGCCACAGCCATCTACAGCTTACCAAGAAAGGTCACTGGCCATTGTTTGCTGTTAGAAAACTGTGGCCACCGAGCCAGCGGATACTCATATTGACTCAATTAACGGCAGCCACACATCCTCGGGGATATGAGTATTGACGTGCTGGCGGCAGGGAATACTACTAGCGCGGTACCTTTGAAAATCAGCAAAACTAGGCTACAATATAAGGAAATGCCTATAACGGAGTTTTTTTTAGTGTTGCCTATAGAGTGGTGCTGTTTCTGCAGAATCTGGAGTTGGTGGAGTTGTTGGTGGTGCAGTTGCCGCAGCTGTGTTTGCTATAGCTGCTATTGTAGTGCTTATAATACTGGTAAGTAAAATTATGTACATCAGGGGGACGTTACACTACATGCCCTTATTCCCGTACAGGTTTATTTTATAAGAAGATATCGAATGGTAAGTTATATACAGTAGCTTTTTTACATCATTCGTAATGTTAATCCTATTTGCACTCAATGTACATAATATGCACAGCGAGGATGGTGCTCTGTTTGTGTGCCTGTACGTAAAACGCTTGCACACATCATTTTATAGCGCCTTTTAAAGTTATGGTTGATGTTATTTACAATACAAATAATGGTTCACAGAGTTTTCATTGTCACAATCAGTGTGGCATGCATAAGATCTGTGGATGCAGCATTACAAGGTCTGGATGCACGCAAAGCATGATAGTGCAAGCAGTGAGTCAAAGAAGAAAGTTTTTAACTACTTCTGAGCTTTACCGGAAGCCATATTTACAGGTCTAGCTGAATGTTGAAATGTGATGGCGATGCCTTGAGTTAGTAAAACAACTTTGACATTTTGCAGACAAATAAGCTTGTTGTTGATGGTGTTAAGGATTATCCTGGAGAACAACTCAGTCAAGATGAGGTATGCCTTTAACATTGTATTGCAGTAGTTGTACACTGGTGCTTTTAACTAAGGTATAATGAAAAGCACTAAAGTGTAAAACCCTCGGCGGCCTGGAACCACGTATGTGGTTTGGGCTATGTGTCACATGCGTGGTTCTACGCCGCTGAGTACTGTTGTGTCACACTGCGGACATCTTCAGGCGTCTATCGCGCTCTCCATCGGTCAGCCCTCTCTGCCTACAACACTCAGAATGTAGACGAGTGCTGATTGCCAGCTCAAATAAGTATTTGCACCAGAAACGACAAGAAGTTTCCTCGAGCGCTGCCCTCAAACCATGGCTGCTCAACGGTACCATTTACGGCGAAAAACACGTGATCATTATGCACAACCCGCCAGTGTAACACACGCATGCGTTTATTTCTCACTTCCTAGAAGTAAGCGAATACTAATTAGCACATTGGCTTGTTAACTTGCTTTTCACGCCATAACTTTTGAACGCCGTAGTTATATGAAAATGGTCTTTGAACCCAGTGTAGTGATGAACCTGTTGGTATCGCTCTTTCGTTGTCTCGAAAACGTGGTAACAGACAGACAGACCAAGTACAGTAACCCTTGCAGCGCATGCGCGCCGAGGGTTAATTACTGAGATTATCACCATATTATGAGAATGTGCATGACATACATGTTGGTCACGCTTATGAATGTCTATTAGTTATTCCTTGGAGAGTTAATAAGCATGAAAAGGAAATTCCATTGTCTTAGATTGCTATATAGAATACACAACTAAATTATCAGCCGTACCAATGTTTGGACACTCAACTGAACTTACCAAAAATGAGCTATGAGGCGGTCGAAAAATGTGGTCCCAGACAAACCGATTATGGCTTTCAAACTCGGCTCCAGAAAATAGTTAAAACAATTAAACTACATCTCCTCTAAATAATTATAATAGCTTTGCCATCTTCCTAATGTTGTAAGTAAGCTCTAACATCATCATAATAAAATGTCACTGGAAGAGTAAGTGCTCTATCAAGTTGTGATCATTCAGTGTGTCACGTGTAATGATGTTGCTATGGTCACCATGGTATGGTTAAAGCCGAACTGCATACAATATTTTTTATTTTGTAGAAGAGCAGCATTATGCGAGTAAAGGAAGATAAAAGTCGAGAGAAAAGTGGCATTGGTGGACTTTGTATAGATGGGAATAAAATATACTATTCCTGCTGTGAAAAATACACAAATAAACCAGACGAACTGTATACAATTCACATATGTAAACCAGATGGAGAATTGATGATTCTTGGTGGCTTCAAACATATACGAGGGATCGCAAAATATGGCAAAAACTTCTACGTTGTTGACAGCCTCAACAGGCGAGTGTTGAAGTTTGACAGTAAGTGGAACCCAGTAAGCAGGACAAGTCGTAGATCTACAAAAAACGGCCTTGTTTTGAGTGAACCTTACGGAATTTACATAAATGGAGAGTATGTTTTTGTCTGTGCACGCAGAAGCAAAAAAATCTGCATATTTGATCACGAACTGAATTTACGTTATAGTATCAAACATCATCATCTTGAATCTGGTCCAATTGATATTACTTTTTTCGATGGTAAATTCTTTGTGACCATTAAAAGTGCAATAATAGTGCTTGAGATTGACTTTGAAAGAAAAACATATAAAATATGCAAGAAAAGCGGGATTCTCATGGACAACAAACCTGAACCTTTCAATGCAGGACTTGAATTAAGAGGGATAGCTGCAAGTGACAAATATCTATATGTTACAGAGACCGGTGGGCGATTGCTGTGCTTGTGGTACCATCCTACAAATTACCAGCTCGTTTATACCGATTCAATTCCGCAATGCTCCCCGGTTGTTGTCGTTTACGATGCTGGATGTGTTTATTATAGCCGACGCAAAAATAAAAAAGGAAGATTCGCAATTTCTAGAGTAGTTCATGATTCGTCCATGAATAAAATGACGTATGAGGATATTCCTAACTTAGGTTTGTAGCATTTTTGACATATTTTTTTTACTGCGGCAATGTTTAACTAATTTTTCAGTTGCATTGTAAGTTTTGGTATGTGTTGGTAAACAGTTACATGATATTCTAACCATCTGTCAGATGGCCCACATCTAGCTGTACGCATAAACCCAGTGGTTTTATACAAGTGTTCTGTTCTCCTCGTGAGAATCCACCTATACGCCATTTCAACAATCTTTTCCTTCTTCTTGTTCTCCTTATGGGAACCGGGTGAAGTGCTGTTTTTTTTTCACTGAACATCTCCTGAGTCAACAGAGGTGTCACGGACATCAAGCGATTGTTTCTCTCTGCCCTACGTCTCTATATACAGTAGCTAGATCACGGAGCTCTTCAGACGCTGGACGACGCCATTTGCTGCCAATGCTCGTGGGTGTAGCTCCACCAGACTCGACTCAAACACAATTTGAAGGATGCTACTGTCAAGCAACCAAATGCACAACACATTCCCAAGTGTTTCCTTCTCCTTGTACATAGTTAACTATAAAACTATATGGCCTACTATAGTATGCTAGACACTCCAACAAACATGTCTCACACTTTCTACCAACCATCATCGCATATTCTTCCCCCCCCTCTGAGGTACACGTTAGTGCATGCACCTACGAGCACAGACTAGCGAGTTAGTTGAAACGTGGAGCTATTATTGTTCCGCATGGGTGGCCCGTGATGTAGCATGTTATTATTTACATGTATAATATATGTATGCTGTAAGTTTATGTAGTGGCAAAAAAACAACCAAAAAAACACCCAAATGTTGTCAGATGTTTTCTAGGTGACAGTCCTGTATAGCTTTCATTTCTCTCGCCATGGTAATGTCTTTGGAAGTGATGTATTCATACAGCGGTGTGGTGTTCTGCTCTCCTCAGTCCCTGTTTGTTTCTCTTGGACGCCACACACCATCACGATTATTCCAGCGATGAATCAGTTGTAGTGTAACGATTGAAGATCCCAGGAGCCAGTATCCATGGTTATAGTGGACAGGACGCTGTTGATGCGTCCACTGCCGTAGGTACCTCTGTAGTTGAGTCTGAGCTGAAAATTGAGTTGAGGGATATATAAATTGAGAGGAATCATCAGTGCAATACTCAGGACAGGGAATGCCCCCAACCCCACCTCCACAAGACACGGATGTATACGTAACCAAATCCGCAGCTGGCTCAAATATTGCTACTCTTTCGGTATAACAACATTACATGAAAAATGCATAGCTACTTGCATCTGTCATAATTATTCTCTGGACAGAGGTGGCGCATCAGATTCTCCCTTGATGACAGGAGTATCACCTATAGGCAGTCAGTATGAACACGTTACGTATATCACCTACGTAGAATTGAACAGTACTGGCAGTGTATCTTATATGCATGTTGATACCTGTTTCAAAGGTTCCCTACACCACGACATCTTGTTTCCACCCCTGGTACCAGCACCACTGAGAATTCGTCCCAGTCCAGTAGTGGAGTCAGGAGTACAGAAATAATGTCCTCTGCTCCTCCA